GGAAGGAAGGAAGGAAGGAAGGAAGGAAGGAAGGAAGGAAGGAAGGAAGGAAGGAGCCTCCCACCCCAGTTCAGTTGACAGCAAATAAGTAATGGAGGAAGGGTGGGAAGAGGTGACAGAACATGGGTGGGGGGGGTGATAACACATCCTGGCTAAATCTCAGATCAAGAATTGTTGCTTTCGTGGGAGAATAGAGTCCAGCACAGGAGTGTTGCACACCCTATTTCTTAGCACTCAACTAGGAGAGGGGGACTAACCTACAAGTCAACAAGCATCCTGGGTGACAACGGGCTGGATCCTGATTGGGTTTTGACCTGGATGTAAATCTCACTAACGTCAGTGGGGTCCTTTTTTTTTAACTGAAAGAAATGAATCCAGTTCCGATGGTGTTTTTTTCCAATTTATTAAGCCTCATGTCCACCACACAATGTTTTGGGGACTATCTCCTACCATCTTTAAGGCAAGTGTTTCTCAACCTTGGTAACTTTAAGAGGTGTGGACTTCAACTCCCAGAATTCCCCAGCCAGACATGCTGGCTGGGAAATTCTGGGAGTTGAAGTCCAGACCTCTTAAAGTTGCCAAGGTTGAGAAACACTACTTAAGGCTATCAGATCTGGTTCACCAACCTCCAGACCACCACCAGATGGCCATTGTTTGCCTTTGCTGGCACTGAGAGGTTGTGGGGATATCCGCAGCCCAGGTCCGGTAACCCTGCGAAACTATTGGCCCCGCTGTGTGCAGAGCTGCTGAGAACTCTCGGTCATCGCATTTTAGAAGACTGGCCATAGCAGGGGGGATCTGGGGCTCCTTAGAGGTTGCTCAAGTCCAGCTACTGCTGTAGCCAGAGTTGGGGGGAAGATGCTCTTTGTTTCAGGGCAGCTGCAAATTCCCTTGGAGTTGAGTGCCCTGGTTAATCAGCCTAGCTGCACTGCCAAGGGGGCCTTTGTAGAATTTGGATACCAGATCTTGGGGATAAATTGCAGTAAAAAGTAAAGTTTCCATGCCAAACGTGTATCCTCGCAATATCAGGGCGCGCCCAGGTAATTTTTCTAGCAACTTTATAGAAATAGCCTGCCTTTCTTCCTTCCAAGATACAGGTAGTCCTCATTTAGTGACCACAATTGGGATCAGCAACTTGGTCGTTAAGCAAAGCAGTTGCTAAGTGAAACCGCTACTGCGCTTATGATCTGACTTCAGCTTTCCTTTGCTTTGCAGACCTACAAAGGTCATAAAGGTTGTAAAACTACTTTTTCATCACTGTCATAACTGCAAATGGTCACTAAACAAGGCAGTCACTAAACAAGGACTACCTGTATTTTTTCAACTTCCCAATCTGGTCTTCATCCCTGGGATGTCCTGACGCTCTTCCATCCAAGTCCAATCCATGTCTCACACTGCTTAGCTTTTCTGAGATCAGCCAAGGCAGATGCTGTCACCTTATGCAGATTCTCACTTGGATTGAGATGGGTGGCTATAGAAACTGAATAAATAAAATAAATAAATA